CCCCCGTGTCCCGCTCGGGAGGGGAGGGAGGGGATTCTGGCCCAGGCTTCTCCGCCGCTGGCCGCCCTGCCCTGTCACCCCACCCAGGAGCGCCTGTGTTTCCTTGCAGTAACGAGAAGGACCGGGCGAAAGCCCCCGTGAAGAAGAAAGACGACCCGAGTGCCATCAAGGAGCGGGAGGTGTAAGTGCCGCTGACACTTTAGGGAAGGAGGGAGGAAGGGAGGGCCGGTAGGCCACGCTGCAGGCTGCAACCAAGGGCATTTCTGAGCAAAGCTGTCAAGTAGGAAGTGGTGCCCAAACCAAGGGAGTGGGCTTGGGAGGTGGCAGGAGGCCTGACGGGTCACTCTCCCGTGCTGCCTTGTGTTGTTTCTGTTCATTACCCCTTCTTTATTCTGTGCAGGTTGTAGGATTGAATATGTTGTTAATTGCAATTAACTGATTTGAATTCTTTGTCTTCCCGGCAGCCCCCAGCATCCCTCTTGTTTGTTCTTCCAGTATAACACACAGTTGGGCCCCCCTTATCACATCCTGGTTGACACTAACTTCATCAACTTCTCCATCAAGGCCAAGCTGGACCTAGTGCAGTCAATGATGGACTGTCTCTATGCCAAGTGTGAGTGTCTGCATCACTCATAGCTTTTCCTGGACCATGTAGTGCCACGGTGTGCTCGTGATGTGCTTTATCAGCCTCATATCAGTAGCTGAGGATAACAGAAATCTTGAAGAAAAGATATACGTGCTATAATCATCGAGCTCACTGTTCATGGCTATGGTAACCCTGGAACTGTCTCTGTTTTCAGTCAAACAATAGTCTTAAATGCTAATGTCAACAAAGGTAAAGCATTAATAACTTAAAAATCTAAAATTACCATGGGGTGGTCAAACTCAGTGGTCTACATTTGTCACTTTGCAACCTTATCAGTTCTCATAAGTTTAAAATTGTAGTAATATCTTATAGAGTTCCATGATAGTTAACTGTTCCTGGGCATGTGGTCAATACTGTAGGGGTCTGTAAAGAAACACTGCTTGGTTTTAATGCAGGCTTTTTTTGCATGTAGGTATTCCATGTATCACAGATTGTGTAATGGGTGAAATTGAGAAGTTAGGACAGAAGTACCGTGTGGCATTAAGGTAGGTGCAGGGTGTTCTCCATATCTAGAAATGAATGTTTTAATATCAACAAATGAAAAGCATTTTCCATGATGGTGCTCTTGCACTAGAGGGTGGTTAGGTTGTTGCAGGCTCCCAAACTTGGTTTTGTTTCTCTGGCTGTATGAGATCAGTATGATGGCTCGAGTTTTAGATTATTTTTAAAAAAACTAAATGCTAGGTATGAGTGCACAGTATTGATCTGTAAATCTTTGTTTCCCCCTAAGACGTTCAAAACACTTCCTCCTGTTTCTCAAAATAAATATATATTTTTTTTAATTATAGAAGTTTCTAAAAATAAAGAAAGAAATGACGCAAGTCTCATGGAACCTCATGTTATACGTGTAGGAGTAGATAGCACGTGCTGATAATCTAGAGCCAAGTTATTGTGTGATCTGTACAAAACTAGTCCAATGTAGTTCATGCTCTCCAGGCATACCAGTCAGATGTATTGTTCTTTACTTTTTATTTTGGCCTGTTGTGTTATAAAGTATCCAAGTGCATCCCCTAAACAGCTTTGATGTTCCCCTTCAGAGAGGAGGTGAAGTGTTCCTATGTGCATTGTGCGAAAGATCAGATACTAGAAGAAGTTCTCATTCTTCCCACAGATAACTTGTTTCAAATTACTTTGTTAGGCAAGAGCCTAACATTGTGGGGATCTTGAACCCAACTAACAAGTACTGAGGAATACTTAGCCTATAATAATTAGCCACACAAATTGCATTCTTTTTTGTGCTCCCTGTTTCCATTGACTGTTGTGTACCATTCACGCCATGCCTTCAGCCCTTGTTTTGAGAATAACATGCTGCATATCATAGAAAGGGGCGTTCCTGTTCCTCTATACTGTGCTACTGTACACTCTGGTCTGACTGCTGTGATGCTGCCTTGCATGTCCCCACAGAATTGCCAAGGACCCTCGGTTTGAACGCTTGCCATGTATGCACAAGGGAACCTACGCAGATGACTGCCTGGTACAGAGGGTCACTCAGGTATTTCTGTTTCTGAAATTTTCTATACTATGCTAATATACTAAAAATTCCTGAACCCACCTGGTTACGGATGACTTAAATTTCCCACAGAGTAATTGTAAAACCTCACTAAGGGGCAGTTTCAGTTCCTAGCACAACTTCATTCGAAGCAAGCTGTAGTCTTCCCCGAGCATTCTTGTTGTGTAGGACAGCATCAAGGGGCACTTAGGGTAGGAAAGCTGTCAGCTGGGAAGGCTGCACAGACTTGCGATGTTGCTACAAGTCTATTTTGATGAGTGGAAGGAAGTTACTAGTCTGCTGTGGAGTTCTGTACAAGTCCTAGTAATGCCTCGCTCAGGACTCCTAGGCCTCTTATGTTAAATGAGCTCACTGAATGGAAGCTTTTTCTCAGCTTTGTCTCCTTGCTGTGGGTTCACTGGTATTGAATCTGACTCACCTCTGTTTTTTCAGCACAAATGTTACATTGTGGCCACAGTGGATAAAGAGCTCAAGCGGAGAATACGAAAAATCCCAGGAGTGCCTATAATGTATATTTCCAGGCACAGGTAAGGGACCTCTGACAGCGAGGAACACTGCCTGGCAGAATCCTTCTCTAACAGGGACTCTATCATCCTGTATTTCTCTCTGCTGCATTGTCTATAGTGCAGGTTGCAGTAAAGGGCCCAGTGTTTGCACAAAAGTAGAAGTACAGCTGCTTCTGCAAGAGACTGGTCACAGACCAGTCTACATGTTCATTTGCTTTTACCTGGAAAACTAGTTTCCTTGAGGCCAGTGTTTCCATAGATCAGTTTTGCTTAGCAGCAGCAGGACTACCAGGTAAATGCATTCTACAGGTGCTTGAGGAAAAGAACCATTCTTGTTCCATATTCTATTTGGTAGCTGTGTGCACCCTCAGCTAAGAGATTGAACAACTTGCTTCTTAAGATAAAAACCAAACCAACTCAGAAGGATGCTAGTGCAGCAATTCCAATGCAACAGATTTTTCCAGTATCTGCAAGTACTGGCTCACCTTATTTATTTAATTTTTTATATGCAGTAGGACCAGTGATCTACTGTAAAAACATTTGCTTAAATTAATTTCCTGTTCCTTCCAAAGCACTCATGAAGCGTAGACTAAGAAGACTTTACTCACCTTTGTTTGTCATATCCAGTGTTTTAATATTTCTTCTACATAATGTACAGCCCAGAAGATTTATTTTGCATGGAACCTATGCCAAATTGTTTCACAGTGTGGTAGATATGTTTGGTAGCATGGTAAGGAGAGAAGTCAGGACGTGGAGAGAAAAGGGCCGAAGTCTTCAGATGGGATGGGAGAGATACTGGAAAGGAGGCAGTTGTGCTAGCAGTAGAGATAATGAGTCTAGTAATATGCAGACAGAGCGTTATGTTAGAAATGGGGAGGTTGATTGCTATAAATATGTAAAGTCTTAACTGATATATAATTAGAACATGGCTCAGAAGATTTTTCTCTCAAAACATCTTTGCCCCTTATTCGCTGTGTCCATGAATCGTAAGTCAAATGGCCAAAGTTTTATTCTCTGTGGTGGTCTGCTCTTAAATCCTAAGTCAGATCTTACAAAACCACCATTTTTAACCTTCTCTGGAGATGGTGAGCCTTTGAGATGCCCAATTTCTGAGTTTGAGGTGAAGGATAACAGCAACCTTATGAAGGCTTTTCACTTTTGGAAGTAATATTTTTCTTCCTGGGGATCTGAGCTGCAGATATAAATGCAACAAAGCTTCTTGCTGTTCAGTCTGTCTGTAAGCCTGTTGCTGCATGGGGAGGGGAGCAATGTGGAGTAGGTTGGCTTCATAGGTTTTCCCTCTTTCTTTCTCAGATACAATATTGAAAGGATGCCAGATGATTACGGAGCTCCTCGATTCTAATGTGTCCAGCCAAGCCATCGATGCCAGGACTCTGAGCCAGGATAAGGGTCTTTCTGGTTCCAACTCTCCTGCTTTCTTTTTTGCTGGGACTCTGGTCACAGGACTGTGGGTGACATTGGACTGACTTCATAGCCTTGATCTTCTATGAAAAAGCTGCTTGGAAGAGTCTGGTTTTATTCATCCTTGTTCTGACTTGGCCTGATTACCTATAGCGGGGAGAAGCATATGAGAAAGAGAGGACGGCAGTGCCTAGAACATGCCTAACTCCCTCTTCATTGGGATCATTGGAAAAAGTGATTTCAGCATTCTGAATTAAATATTGGTGATGCAACTCTGAGAACAAAACCACAGAAGTTTTAGAAGTTTCTTATTGCTGCACTGCAGCAGGACAAGTATTCCTTTGGGACACTCCCTCACACCTGTCCCACGAGCAAATAGGAATCTGCATTCTGGACAAAAGCTGTCATATCTGCACCAGTTGGCGTGCCTTCTCTGGACCAGTGGTCTGGAAGATTTTAATTCAGAATCAATGGGCTTTTTGTCAGCTGTACAATGAATGAAGTTGGGTTAAGTGTCCTTCTTGGATTCCCACATCTGTACTGGGTTAGCTGGCAGCTCGGTCCTTTTACTTGTATGCAGAGTGATAGCGGGAGAGCAGAGTTGGGTTAGGACAGACCTCTCCCTCTTGTTTGCTTGGCAGCTATGCGCCTCAAATCCTTATCCCTTCTGTTAGGTGTCAGGGAAGAGGAGGAAGGTATCAGACTTTGACAGAAAGGTATGAAATTGTGAAAGGTATTAATGTGGGCTGGGAGCAGAGTAGCTGGCGGGAATCAGCAGTGGCTGCAGATCAAGAGTATCACAGAGACCTGTGGCATTTGCTGCAGGGAAGGAAGTGGTCGGAGGAGGGAGGGAAAAGAGATGGTTAAGCCACATGGAGAAGAGCAGTGGAAAAATATTTCAAAACTGTAACTCTGCATTCTCATATCTTCTCCATTACTTTTTGACTTTTAGCAATATAATTTGCTCTTCTGATCTCTGCTCTGCAGTGAGGAGAATTGTCTTAAGACTGAGAGGTGAGAGACAATATGAGGGTCGCCAGGGGCCAACATGCCGCAGCATGCTTCCTGGCCAAAATGCTGGAGTTGGGGGGAGTAAAGGGGGAGACTGAAAATTTATATTCTTCTAAACTTTACTAGAGCTTTTATCCTGTGGTGCCTTACATGGTCCAGGCTGCAGAGAATAGCTGAACTCTGATGTATGCTGGGCAGCATACAGTGAAGATAACACTGCTCCTCTGCTAATCATTTCCTGCCCTTGGGAAATGCCCTGACGTGCTAACAACTTTTTTGCTAGCACCCTGCCTCTACAGATATTGCGGGAAACTTTGGGAACACATCAGTCTTACCCCTCGTACTACCTCTTTGCTTGCTGCAGGCTCACTTACTAAACTCATCCCTGAAATAACAGCATACTGACACTTTCAAAACATAGCCCCTTCCAAGCTATCACAACTGAAGTTTATCTTCTTCACCTCCAGCCAGGAAGAGGGTATCCAACAGCCCTGAGATATTACACTCGGTGTATAATTGTACATTTCAAAAATAATATCCTTAGTTTTCTTCTCTCAATTCAAGTCACATTTCTTTAAGCTGTGCAAGTACTCCTGAACACTTGAAGACCATGTTTAGTCAAGAAACAGTTGTAGGATTAGATCTGTGTAACTTGGTTTTCAGAATAATTCTAGTTTTGAAAGACTTCTTCAAGTACAGAGTTAACTAAAACTGTTCCCCTGCAAATAACTTCACTTGAATTAACCTAAATTGAAGGAGACTGGAGAAGAAAGAAATGGACATTCATGGTAGTATTTGATAGAAGTCCTTCTGGCACTGGAGAAGAGGTCAAAGGCACAGCAACATGATGAATTTGGGGAATGTCCGCCTGCCAGCAGAATGCCTATTGGAGGGACTTAATAAAAATACATGTATCATGAACTGTGGGTAGGAATCAAAGCAAATATGCCCATTTACCAAAGTCTTTTACTCCTTAAATTAACATTCCTTGTAATCTGCCTTGCTTGGTTAAGTTACAGGAGGAGGAACCTGTAATAGGCAATTCCTAAAGAAGTGTTAAGAGGGTTGGAGGATGAGCAGCAGGGAGAAAGTATTGGCAGTGAGCGAACCCATCAGAAAATTTTCATAAACTGACTATAATTGGCAAGACAGAAAAACTTGGGTATTAACCCAAAGAGCCTGGTCAGAAGAGAAACACAGGACAGGAAAGGACCACCTGAGTTATCAAGTGCTTCCCCTGCAGTCCCAGGGAACCTGTGTACCAGACACTTTGTTCACAGGGAAGTATTTACTCCATGCACACCATGGCATCCCAACCTCAGATCCAATTTACAGCATGTCAAAGGAATAAAGATCATTATCTGTATAACAGGAAAGAGGTTGGTAAGTGAGAATGCTTTGATGTTCCTACAAATGCAGAATTCTGCCAGTCCAAACCAGAAAAGAAATTCCTTCCTGACCCAACTCTGGCAGTTGGTTTAAACCTGTACACGAGTTAGATACCAAACAGATGCCTGCAATGTTTCTCAGTAACTCAAGGGAATTCAGCCTCCCCCCTAACATCCTGTCTCTTGCTGTAGCCAGTTTCCATAGCTTCAGAAGATAAGAGAAAACAATCAGAAAAGCCACAAAAAGAAGGTCTGAAGTTATGTGAAGAATGGGAGAAAATAATTTCTACTCCTTTCTGGGGGCCACCAGAAGGCCCAAGATTGCTGCAGCGTTACCACCGGATGAAGTGAAGAAACTTAAGCTGCTGATCCAAGATGTGATGCTGGTTAATTGAGGGATAACTGACATGTGGTAGAATAGCATTTAGAAGCAGGAAGAACATGAGCTATTTAAAAAATTAATTAAAACCAGCATGATGACATACATTAATGTTACAGAGTGTAAAAGAGGGCATAGATGTGGACTTTGCAGGGTTGCTTTAGGACAAGGTAACATTGGGTAAAGCCAATATATCTTGGCTGGTGGGAATCAACACTACTGCTGCCCGGAACAGATTCGGGTATTGACAAAAGCATCTGTCAAATTATTTGGAAGTTAACGCTTTGGGCTCCTCAATTTACGCTGGAAAACAGTTGCTACTGAAAATGGTTGAGTACTTGTATTTCTTCATAAGGGAAGTAACAGGTTTAATGGTTGAGTACATGTATTTCTTCATACGGGAAATAACAGGTTTCTTTACAATATTGAGTACCCACAACAAACAGCAAGAATATTGGGAGAGACCTGCCTGCAGGAAATAACCTTGAGTAAAATGATTACAAGAGAACTCACTTTATCCTCCTGATCAATTCACTCAAATCAAAGGATGTTTGCAACAGGAATTCCCTATTTTGAAAGGACAGACTTTTGAAAGCTTAGTCAGTGAGTAAACTGCCCCAAAGAGCTCAGGGGTATAAATGTTAAGTACGAGTACAATGTGGAGGAGATGAGGGCTAAAAGTACAAATGCTATCTGGAAGTCATATTCACTGTAAGAGAAATCTTAGAGGGCCACCTCTAGACAGAAAAGGATCAATAATCACCTCTAGATGAAAAGAAAGGATACTAAAGAATAGAAAAGACAGTTCTATGTGTATTAAATTAAGATAGTTTTCTTGAAGATTTGCATCTCATAACTTGAGTTCACACTCTACTTGGAGCTGAGCTTGTAGATTCATGGTGTATCACCTGTGTGGATGCCCTGGAATTTAACAACAAATGAACACAAATCCAGCTTTTCCAGCAGAGAGGATAAAGCTTTTTCTCTACCTAACAATCTGGTTTTCTTGATTTTTCTCCTGAATGAAAAGTCTTTGGACTTTTCCTCCAACACCTGCCTTTCTCCACTGGCCAGGGATCCTTGATTCACCAGCCATGAATTAGAGATTGAACATGAGAAAAATTGCTCACCTTTTCTGTACTTGGAAGGAGGGCAAGCAGTGAGACACAATGCTGGTGCACCGCTGACCTAAACAGTAGCCACTAGGCTTCGCTGGCCAGCTACTAGAATTCACATGCACAAGCCCTCCTGTCTTTTCTCTACAATGGGAGTTCAGCACTTTGCATAAATCTTTGCCAGCTGGCTACAGAACATATCTGTATGTTTAACTCATACTTCAGTGTGGGAAGGGAGAAACGCAAGAAAAAATTCTTTCCTGCTCCTCAGTGCAGTTGCTTCTGGAACAGATGAGGCAATTTCAGACACGTGCCGCTCCATTCTCGGTTTTGCCTCTGGGGTTTATTACCAGCGTGTTCACTGAAAAAGAAACGAAGTCGTTCAGGCCATTGCTAGGGGACGGCTCGCCCAGCAAGGCCCCGGCCCCGCGCAGGGGGTCCGCGCGTCGTTCGCGAGGCTGCAGAGCCCCTTTGCCTTGGTGCCCCTTTCCCGAGGCCTGGCTCGGCTGGATCTGCGGCCGCACTCATTTCACCCTCCAATCGCCAACAACAATTAATCAGCTCTGCCCATCGCACCTCGGGTCACCGACACCGGCTTGG